TAAAATATTATCCAATTAAATTTATGATATGAATTAACCAATAAAATAAGAATTAAATATTCATATCATAACAATATAGAAGACAACTCACGATGAATTGGTAATCAAATTCCAATATCGCCAAAATGTTAAATCGAGAGAATATCGCGCGATTTGAATACAATGGTCCTAACAATGATGTATCACGAGTACATGTATAAAATAACATTTTTTTCTGATCCTGTAGCACCAGAATAATTTAACCAAAAATAGAACAAAAGCTTCTTTGTTGGAAAGGAAGATTCACCTATTGTTGCTGTATAATTGACCGAAGCATTCATGATTTCTTTTAACCACAAAAGAAACTGACCGAATCTTAGAATGCCAAGTCCATTTTAATTCAATATGTATTATTTAGTTAATATAAAAAATGTTAAATTTTTAATTCGATTGAAATTATCAATTTACAAAAGCATGCTTTTATTATTTCAAGTTTATAATTTGATTATAGGAATCTTGTGAAAGTTCTTATTTTACATAAATATAAAGGTGCTCTTTACTCAATAAACGTTCATTATATAGCGCGTAATGAAGCAAAAAACGGCAAAGTAAATATCCCTATATATTCGAAACTTAATCTTGAAAAACGTCTTTTACTTGATAATAATTCCCTTGCAAGCATTCAAAAAAAATGTTCGCGTTTCACATCGGATAAATATAAACAGAATTTATCCGCTGTCGAGCATTGTGGATTGATTGAGACGGAATATTTCGATACGTCTGAACTCGAAGATTTCTTAACGTGGACTCGAGACAACACAAAACCACATCGAGATGATGATCACCAAAGCATTGCGATTGATAGAATTCCAGGGTGACAATAGGTGCTCTTGTATTTTGGAAAAAATGCTCCAGTGTTCTCGGGGTGAGTGTTAATGCTGCTTGGATCCCGAGATGTCGTAACTTTGGTAATTTATATTTCGACATGTCTCGTACTACAGAATTTACATCTATCTCTGGCCACCTTGCGCCAGTTATAATTAATGTTTCAAGATTTTCACACAGAGAAACGAGGGATACCAATTGAGGCATTTCGTCTTTAGTCGGTCGAACATTACATTTTATAATATTCGAACAATGTTGTGCGATAATTTCTATTACGCTTGGTGTTTCTCCTTCATTTTGCAATATTTCGCTTAACGTCAATTTTTTAATGCTTGCATTAGAATTTCGTATAATATCAGTCAAAATACTTGCCGGGGCTGGTGAATTCATATTAATTTTTCTCAAAAATGGAAATCTTACATTTGTCAACGGTTGCATGACAGTATCAGTCAAATTCAAACAAGAATTAAATTTCAGTTTCTCCAATTTTGTACAAGCCGCCAGCCCAGCCAACGGGCCAGAATATAAAAAATTCACCCCGGTAAAACTTATCCGCCGCAAAGAATGTGACTGTGATTTTAATGAGTTGATGACAAGATCAAGGCCCCAAGGACAATACCCAAGTTCAAATGCTCGAAGACTTTTTTGTGCTTCGACCACGCGTACGAGTGCTTCGGCTTCTTTGATAAATGTTTGTTCATCCTTGGATTTTTTTCGACGATCGAGCATTAGCTCGGCGTTTACTCGTGGATATGACATCCACACGGTGATGTTTCGTAGATTACGTGCTACTTTAGATATTTCTTGAAAGAAATTTGTTTTTATTGATTTTGTTGTGCATCTTAATTCAGCTAAATTCGATAAACAGTCAATTGCTCCCGGGTACATCGGCATCAACAATAACGCGTCAGGAACTAAAGAACGATGAATTGTATCGATAGAGAATCTTTTTATAGTCCAGCAATGTTTCATCAAAAAATTTCCAAGAACTTTCGCTGCCGCTAATTCTGCACGCATTCTACGTTCTCGCCAAGATCGAAATTCACGATACCGACACATCAAAAAATTCACAGGCGCGATTCGATCCATCTTCATAAATGATGAAGATGACGCGTGAGCTTGCATCGCCACCATTTTATTCTCTTGCGTGTATTCTATCCATCCTAGTAATGCCGCAAATACTTCCCCCAAATCAACACGTCTTAGTAAATGCGGATAATCAAAAATCGGACGTGGTTTTGCTTCCGGTGGTGCTGTAATTTCCCTCGACAGATACACGCGTTTTCGTTTGAGTGCTCGTTTCTCTTCTTCATTTAGTGATAGAAAATATGTTTCTACTAATTGTCCGGCCCTTTTTCGCCATGACTCTGGCGAATATTCGGCCGGATCTCGACATATGTTTAGTAGTCGAAATGGCTGACTCCAGAGTACAGGTATTGCACTTTGACACCACTGTCGATTTACTAATATGCAAGAGTATAGAGCATCGCGATCGTTTTCGAGATTTTCGAATATTTGGTTGTAGCAATCTGACGGTAAAAACGGCGCCATGTTGTTGTGTTTGATATTGTTTTACGGATCCCAAAAAATATGAAATTGAAACGTTTCAGTTAAACAATGTGATAATGATAACACTAAATGCTATGAATGAATAACACTGATATTAATACTAAAAAAACTGTTAAATATGAAAATATGCATGGAAATGTGGAATATTGTTTAATTTGATATTATTAATTAAATTGCCCACTTATTTCCGAACCTTCAATTAGTTCACTGAAAAGAAAACGATCCAAATAATCTAGAAGACTACTTAAAAAGTGCGTGTCTTTGTTCAAGAAAGATCGTTAATATTCTAGTTGAAAGGAGTGAACCGTAATTATCAACCAAAAAGAATACTGTGCAAAAAAAAGTGTCCGTGTTTACCTTACGTGACACATTCATACATACATGTACCAAGATACTTTCTTTTTCGAGTTTCTATGTGTTCCAATGAATGATGACCTCAATTTGTAGAAAAATAAGTTAGCGTTAGAAGTTCGCGTTAGATGATTTTCTTCGATTGGTTGCAACACAATAACAAAAACCTAATTTGCGATGTTGTACGAGTTTTCATTGCTAGTGTTTATTGATGATCTACAATTTAAGGGTTGTGAAACCGTTTCAAGTTCCCTTTTCATAAAATAAAGAATATCCGAATATCGACAGTCATGTGATAAATCACGTAATAGAGCGGACATACTATTGCTTATATAAATCTATGTTTCGTAACGGTAATGCTAAATGTGGGAAATAAAAGGATATGGCAAACAAAAGTTTTGATTGTAATAATAAATGATCCGTTATAACAATAAAGAAGGGGGTTATAATAATGTTGGAATTCGTGGTCAGAAAAGAATGTGTTGGTTAGAATCGAACTTTGAGTCCTTTTTAAAATTGATGAACCCGGAGTCAATCAAGGATTTTTCGAAAAGTTTTGCATTTCAAACAAACGTGAGAATAATTTATTAGCTCAAATAATCAAAATCACAAAGGATCTAATTTTCTACTAAGACTTTTTCATTTACAACCGCAGATGATGTATTCACGCTTTTAAGTTCTCTTTGACTCTTTGTTGCAAATCCAAAAATATGGAATGACTATACCACGGAGAGATAGTAAGAATTCGACTAGTGCCTTTGTGTTCTGTAAATTCGGATGTAATTTCTTTGCTCGTGCTTAAATTTTTGGTAACTTTCATTCGTTTCCATATTTATAACAAGCGAAAAAGAAATTTATTAGTTCTTTCGATTTGTTAACCATCTCCTACTAAGTTCAGCCCAACATGTCCGGTTTAACGATTTATAGACTTATGCCCGTGTGTTTACGTCTGAAACTTGGAACTTTTAATTCGGAAACCAACCAATTCGATTTATGTCGAATTGGCATTTGTCCAATGTGTATTACAATTTATACTGTGGAACTTTCTGGTTAATTTAGTGTACATTCTCATTGAATTTATTGGTAATTTTTATTTATTTGTTTTACGCCAAAACATGTTTGGCGAAACGTGCGAGATTTACGATGGACTTTGATGCATTGTATTAATTTTTAGATTTGCCCAACATCAATGTAGCTTTAGTTCATTAAATCTAAATGTTTTTCACTTTCATAAAATTCAGCATATTTTATTGGATCAACTCGAGTTTTAGCACGTAATTGATTTTACACAGTTTTCCTTAATTTTAAGAATAGCATTTTTTTTTAATTAAAAGGAATGTTCTTTTTGAATAAAGCTATACTTAAATAGTCGATCCAATAAGTTCTACAGTTCGATCTATTGATATCGATATGGTTACAACTGTAATCCTATAGAAAAAAATGCAATGCACATTTTAAATACACGTGTAACGTCAATTTCCCGCTTTTCAACATCAATAAAATTAAATCATCATTCCAGTATTAAAATAAAGACGCGTCATCGAATCAAGACATTTATCAAATGAAACATAGATGTGTGATTTTCAATCGCGTGGATGTAATTTATGCACGAACATTTGAATGCCTCGTCTTCTTTTTTTCTCTTAAAAGAACAAGCGGCAAGAACAAAGCGATAGAGCGGAAAAAAAAACGAAAAAAAGTGCAACCAATCAGTCAATGAAATCATGAAATTCATCGACGCGATCATTTAAGTAAAAAAAGGCATGTACATGTACAGGAAAAAGAGTTCCTAGCACAATGCGATGACAATCAAATATATAATGGTTTTTTTTTGGTTTTTTGGAACGCAAGCAAGAACGAGTCTTGGTTTTTCTTTATTGTTTGTTGACAATTGTGGATCATTGATTGTATGCGATAATTATATCAAAATGTTAAAACATAGTTTTACTTTACATAGCACCGCATATCAGATCATCCGATGTTCTATACTTTATCAAAACGCGTATTCAAATTCCTCGTCGCTAAAAGAATAATTTACAATAAATAAAAGAGATTTAATTAAACAGAAAAAGCATGGCAAACACTAATAACTCAAATTTGCGAACAAACGTGGTTTGTTTTTTTTTTGTGCGTAGGTTACATTATGTTATTTGCATCAAATTTCATGTGTCGGTAATTCAAGCAACAACAATATGCATCTCCTGTATGTACACAATAGGTGCTTGCTTGTGTATGAATGCACGGATGATATTACACATATTTTCACCAAAATTAATCGTTGTATACGCAAAGATATGTAAATAAGAATGATAGACTATCTATGAACTATATAAACAGATCAGAGGATTATGCGAAATTACACGAATTCCGTTCTTCGACGAAACATTCTCATGTTCAATCACGTTTATTGAAACCCATCCTTTAATTAAGGCAAGAATCTTCATACAAAAAAACATGTTCTGATGCAGGGTGACAGAATATACATGTTTTATGTGTGACAAGTTGCTACCGCGCTTAGTTACATTGTGACTTTTCACGATGACACGATAAAAACATTGGTATAACAGTATCAGGTATAATATTTGACGATGATGATGTAAATGATGATTTCACCTGTTCTAAATTATGATATAAGAGATTTTTTCCCTGTGAATAGATGTCGGTTCATAATAACAACAACAATAATAATAATAATATATATGCTATACGTGCAGTTTCCCGTTTGAGAATAGACAGACATTCAATCCGTATTGACGATGAGTGAATGATGGACTGTGAACTACCAGACCATTCAAACAAAAAACTTCATTGTTCTTGAAATTTTTGACAAGTATTTATATTGTCGGCACTTTAAAACCATTTGATTGATTGCTTTATTTATTTATTTGTTTGTTCATTCATCTCATATTCTCATTCCATACAAGTTCTTTCTTTTTTTCTTTTCTTCTTGAACCAGTAGTAGTGAACAACAGTGCCAGCACAGATTTGCAATTAATAAAGAATACAGTTAAAATAAAAAGCCACACGCGCAGAAATCACAAGTAAATACATTTACTTTACTTTTACCTGCATAATATAATACATATTATTCCCATTGAAAACTTATTTTTAGCAGTATTATATTATATATATGATATATATATATATATATATATATATATATATATCATATAAAATATATGTTATGTTAGAATTAAAATAAGAATATTATGTAAGAAAAGAAAAAATTTACCGCCCACCAACTAGTACTAGGTTAGAAGTTCACCATAGTACGGGCTAAAGTCACGATCAATCAAAACCCAAATCAAATGGGAGAATAATGAAAAAACAAACCGCTCGAATTAAGGAGAGTAAGATTTATTAGGTAATCGATAATAATCTAAAGCAGCGGCGGACACACAAGCAACACAAACACACAAGCAAAGCAAATAAGCAAACCATCGTAACCGAAAATCTAGGAAAAAACAGCCAAAGTATTGGTGGACAAGCTGTTCGACAGTCAGGGTGGTCGTATCAGAAAAAGTTATAAATACGAAGCTTTCTCTGTTTTTGTCAAGTAACGGGCTGAAGTTGATTCGTTAGGTTCAAAAAATTTTACGATTTAACGAAAAAAAATCTTGCATCATTGTGAGTTTTTTCTTTTGTTCGCTTTCTCTCGCTCAAGCCCATACCTAACGATCATACTACACACCTACTTACCTTAAACTACCTAGTTGCATTAACTTAGTCTTTCTATAAATAAGTATTCGAAACAACACATAACGACCTTTTTTTATACCCACATTCAAAATACACTCACACTCGCGCAATCAACGAAAAAACAAAAAAAAAAACACGCTTGCTTGCACATATACACCTCGTATACAACAAAAGCAAGATACGCACATCTACACACACAACACATTTTGTCAATTAAAATATACTACAAAACTTAAAATTTATGTGTACACCTTCACTAAATCATTATTTATATTGGAAAATAATCACATATCACACAAATAAATCCAAACAAGCAGCAAAGCAAGAGAACAATTGGTGCTCATCTATCCCTTCTCTGGTTTTGTAACAAAAAATTTTTTTGACAAGTTAATCCACAACAACAATCAATTAATAATATATTATCATCATCTAGTATATATAATCTCCTCTTCCTAATCTCCCAAAAAACTTTGTAACAATACAAAAAAATAACGATACAAAAAAACAGAGAACACAACAACTTTAACTTCTTCCTTTAACGAAAAATTTTATAAAATAACAATTTAACGAACGATACATAACAACAAGAAAAACAAAGTTAACTTAAAAGACAAGAACAACTTCAGTATCTCTAAGAACAACTTCAAACAAGAAAACACCAAAGCTCCAACAAGAACTCAAAAATGGTCTTATTAGTATTAACTGAACGTATTCGAAAAGCGGTCTTTGTCGCGATGGAATCTCCGGAATTTGATAGCGCAGCAAAAGCAAGACTCAAGTCGTATATCAAAGGAAGCTCATGTCTTCCACTTGACTTGGTCAAAGAAGTTTCAAAGTTTTTGGTTAGTCGCGATGGGAAACTTGGTCGTGAGATTGGTAAGTTACTCTCTTCCCGATTATTTCCTTCCCACCATTCCGTCATCACAAAACCCATAGCACACAATCACAGCACTCCTGCATTTAAAGTTATTGTCGGCGGTGTTGTTGTGTTTTGTGTGTGTGCTTTGACCAACATATTTAATCAAGTTTTCGTCCATAAAAAGCAATTGAAAATTTTTTTTTCATCTGTCAAAAAAAAACTGATCTTTATCGGCGAAATAAATCTTCTTAAATAGGATTATTTTATCCCCTTAATAACAAACAAATACTTACATAATTTCTTAAATTTTCCCATCAAAATTACCCACACAATATAATAAAAAACAGGTCTATCAAACTTCTGGTTACATGAATTACTCACAGGCAGCGGAGTCTACGTTGAGCAACACAAAGAAAAACCCAAGGTATGCACATTCTTACCATTTTCTCATCGTAAACTCCACACTTCCCATTCTCGTCATCATTTCTATTCTAAATAACGCGAAAGACTATGGTTTTTAACAATCTGCTATTACAACAGAACCCGAAACTGATTGCGCGTCTCGAGGAAATTCTTGCCGAACAGGCAAACAAAGAATACGCTCGTATGATTGGTCGTGTTGCATCGTCTTATGACATGGAGACCTTCAAGATTTTGGACACGGAAGAGTTTTCGTCGATTCGTGGTCAACTTACCGCCATTGTTAATATCACGTTTACCGTTGTGGCGGTGTTCGCTGCTGTGTATCATGTCTCTCATACCATCACCGGAGACACAGGAATGGTAAGAATCTTTTCTATTTTCTTGCATCTTATATTCATGATGATGTGGATATCATTTGACTAATTATCTTTATCATTTAGCGCATATTACTTGCAGGCTTCGGTGGTCTACTTGTCGGTGCAGCAGAAACCTTTTTGTATATGCGATACTTGACTGGATATGACAAAAAACAAAAGAAAGATTCATCATCTTCATCTTCGTCGTCAACATCTTCATCACAAAAGACAAAGACAAAACAACGAAAACCTGGTGCTCGACGAGCAACTTATTGCTCAACCACCACTCACATAAACAACAAGGCTGCTGGTGCAAACGCAACGCTTGCTAGTCGTATTAGTCATATTCCTCATAGTTATCATCATATTTCTCACGTTCATGTCGACAAACCTTCGACTACTAATAATAATATTCGCCGAACACACACACATGCACCAAGAGCAAAATCGCTATAATTAACAGTAAACGACGAAAATTGTGAAAAACTTATACAAATAAACAATACTATCAATTATCAATTATCAATTCATCACCCAAAATTTTTATTTTTTTCACGCAAAATGTATATTTTCTCACACCATATAACTTATATGTAGCATATATAGATATATAGATATATATATATATATATGCTAGGACTTTGAAAAACTACCCGTCAGACAGCCGTTTATATAATATTTATATAAATTAGCTAGCTTAATAATAGCGATTTCTCGCCTCTTGTAAATACCAAGAGTGGATTTTTGCATCCCCTCTCTTGCATTTTTTTACTTCATTGTTTTTTTTTGGATTTTTGGCTTTGTGTCATCTTTTATTTTTTTCCTTGTAGTATGTATAGTAGCATTAGTTACAACAACAAAAAACATGTAAATTTTTCCCGTTTGACTACTCGACAACTACTAGGTACTGCAACTATTATATCTATAATCTATCCCTTTTCTTTTAAATACAAGTTATATAAAACCATAAAAAAAAGATCTTATTTCTTCTGTTGTCATTTTTTACTGTTAAAATCCTCTTCTATATACAGACACATACGCCACAAAAAAAGGCTTACTATATAGCATAATTAATAATAAAAAAGTATATATGATGGTTTTTTGCTCTTAATTTCATAATAATGAGTTTATCATAATGAAAAAGGTGACTTAAAAAAATGCAGTGAAAAAATCCGACTTCGCGTTTGGTTTTACGCGCGCCAAATAAGTCATGTGATTTTTGAAATTTCTTATTGCACGTTACTCTGTAATTTATGATATACCCGAGATCACCGGCTTTTTATTGATATTTTGTGTATTTGCCATTTTATTCACTTTACAATTTTAGAACAATAGAAAAAAGTTGGACTTATGATGACGATGATGAAATAAAGGTCTAGTTTATTTATTCGTCCTGTGGGTTGTGAACATCATCGGATCGCCAATTAATTTAATTGTAGGTGAATGTCGTATTTGCGCGCGAGAAATTAAACTCTATCGGGGAGTTTGCTGCACACTATTTCGAAAGGGATAATGTACGCGAAATTTCGGTTTTTTGGAATTCTGTCATAAGAATAATAAGCCATCGTTATCGTAGTTCATACATTTTTGTCTATCTTTACGCTTACTATATTTCCTGATAATGCATAAAAACACAATGACCACTTAAAAATCTCTAATTCAAAACGAGCTTATCGTTATAATCGGTCTGTTTACTGTTATGTTATTCGGCGATCTAATAAATGTAAACATACATCTACACAATTTGAAGAGCATCTTATTTCACACCATAACAAAACGGTGAAAAAATTGACATGTGCAAGGAATGCATCATGACATTGATCGAGAGGATGCTGGTACCTAATCAACAAAGTGCCAACGCGCAGACCACTTATTCGGGATCCCATCTAAACAAATAATGCGTTTGTTTATCTTGCCCCGAGCGCATAGTGAACCATACAAACAAAATAATCAGGATATTTCCATGACTCTATGGTTATCACATGATAAAAAGACATCGTTTTTTATATATCAATGACAGCAGCAAATTCAACAATGATTCCTCAAGATTCCATTGTCGGCGTAAAAGGCAATGTGAATAATGTATGATGGAAAAAAAAGAAATTATCAATTTGATGTGTACAATGCCGCGAGAATGTTATGCATACGCACATACGCGCATAAAGTATATGTAGTATGTATCAACGCATAGAAAGGTTTAAAGTGAATTGATAAATTTGAATGTCATTTTTTTTTTGGTGTTGGTTGTTCTTTACTCCTTTGAACGATTTTTTTTGTTTTATTATGCTCTAATTATTCAGTAATTTGGTCACTCTGCTCTTTTCTTTGTTCTCTGAATTCGTATTTCATACATGGCTGTGGATATATTCTTGCTGTATGTGTGCTATGCAAAAGAAATTATTAGATAATTAATAAAGAGAGAGAATCTTTGTCAGCGCATGCAAAATAACGAATATCTAAAAAATCGCACCATCCATTCACTTTTTTCTATTGTATGTTTTTTAATATCACGTATGCGTCATAAAAAGAGAATTCGAAAGCTCCCTTGCTGCAGCAGCGAAAAAGAAGCCCAGGCTTATTTACTATGTGCATAGAATTAATAATATGCAGTAATAATATGTCGTTTTTTCTGCTTTAATAAACACATAAATCGTTTTTTCTCTTTTGTTGTTCTTTTTTCGCAAATTTTTTCTAAATTGCGAAAAACAACTGGAGCGACAAGCAAGTTGTACGAGACTATAATCGAGCAAGAGTTTCACGGCTGGCTGTCACAATAACAACAATAAATTTAAGAAAATAAAAGATTCCCGTGACATTGACAGACAAAAGAAAAAGTTCTACTGATATAGAATTCACACATACCGAATGAATCAAGCTATCTGCCAATCTAAGAGATAATTTTGTGATATAGATGGATTAACCTTATTATGTATCAAAAAAACGGTATTTAACGTTAATTGGTTCAAGTATCGCTATTTGTGTATTGGTATTGTAAAAAAACTTGATTGTGATATTAATGTTAAAAATTCCATTGATCATTTTACTAACCTTTTACGTCAAACCACTATTCCTTTATCATCACCCGCAGCAAACAAACAAGCCGAATTACCGAATTTCATTATTTTATTATCGAACATTTTAGACAACTGTGTCTGCGTCTTTTTCAACCAATAAATTTGAGAACAATGGAGAATGAAAAATTCTTTTTTTTCAGTTATCAAAACGATGATATGAGGATCATACATGAAGTTTAGATTCTTTAATGCTGTCAAACCTATGCACATATACACCATTTGCACATGGCAATGATGACATTCAATAAAAAAAAAATGAACGACAGAGAGAATCTGATGTGCAGAACGATTGTTCCCTATAAATAACAACGAATAATAGACATTGAGTTTATAGTATACTATGCGCAATTATGCAGGAAAACAAACAAAATGATTGATGTTTAAAACGTGGTATTGAATTGAATTCAAAGAAGTAAGTTCCGGATTTCAAGATGACAGGCCACTGACCAATAGCTTGTTATTCTATTGTTGAATTCTAATCAATGGTTCCAGTGAATGCATTTTGCGGTTTTTTGATCGAGTGGAACTAACCGTTTTATTGTTATAGATAATAACGATAAGAAACAGCACAAACTTTGACGACGACATCTTTATCAAGTACTCATGTGAAAATTTAAATTTAACCCTTTCAATATTATATATTTTGACTTTTCGTGTCAAAAAAGGAAAAAATATTGCAGATTAATAACTTTTTGTTAGATGCTGTGCAAGAATGGAACAAGTAAGAATGAAATATAAGAAGTCAATGGTGTTAAACAAGCTTTGAAACAAGAAATTATTTTTGACATTGTTTTAGAAATTAATAACGATAAACTTTATGACGAACTCTTTATAGTACCCTCTTTTGTAGAGGATTTCAAATTAATTCAGTCCAATTTACAAGAGCCTTGAGGTTTAAATTTTTTACAGAGGGGGATACGATAGAGTATTTTATCATATTGAAAGGTGACCAATTGATGAGAAAAGTTTAAATAAGATAATATAATACATTAAATATGACCTTTTACATTCTTCGAAACGATCTTTTCCAAGATTTTTGACGTGGAAAAAAAGAGTGGATAGAAATTCGCGCACATGTATTTCTGCAACGTCGTCAATATAGCGATGTGTATCCATCAAATTTTTATTATATGTTCAGTCACGCAAATATAATTGTTCCGCAAACTGTTATTTAATGCAAAATAGATTTTGCTTATTTGACACAGCGAATAACATAACTAGTGCTAAAAACACAATGATTCACTTATGCAATGTAATTAATTTAATTTAATTTTAATTTTAAGATATTTGTATATTAGTTAACTCTATTATTTTAACTAAAATTCTCTTATTTGATAAATATTATATATTGTTATTGTTAGTAGTCTTTGCAAATAAAGTTCTTTACTATATAGTAAACAGTGACTATGATCATATAAAAAAGTATGAAGAAATGAGCAAAATATAAAATAATCTTTTAATATTATTGTATATTAACTGAAATACTAAAAGATTCACTAAGAATCTAACAAGTTTACTAAGAACTTAAGAAAAATATGAGTTCACAAAGAACAGAATGAGTTCATCAAGAACTCAAAGAATTATTAAAGAATTTATAAAGAATGTAACACTAAGTTTTTTAATATTTAATTATTACTTTACTAAAAAATATTAAGAATCTTTATTATTAATCAAGAAAAAAAACACAAAATAATCAATTCTTTTGATAAATATATAGTAAATTAATTATTAAGTTTATTAAAGGATAAAAGCAAAGAAACTTTATTATTAAATTTATTAAAGGATAAAAGCAAAGAAACTTTATTAATATCAAATTAATCAAAGATTATCTAAAAATATATTTGTTTTTTCTAGTTAAAATACTTTTTATATTTATAATAATTTGGTTTTCTTAATTTAGAACTAATCTATTTTATTTAGAATGAGATTTATTTTATTTTATAAATTATCTTGTTGTACTTGTTTCAATATTTCATATCTTTCACTTGAGTGTAACTAATTATTATGAATTACTATTAAGTTAATTTGATCTTTAAAAATTGATTAATATATATCTTTTATACTAATAATAATAATAATATGAAAATAATATAAATTAAATATAAATATTATAAAATATAATTAAAATAAAATAAAATAGTATAAAATATAATTAAAACAAAATAAAATATAGTGAAAATAATATAATTATGTTATTTTCACTTAGTCTAGGTTATGAATATGTTGTGATCTATTTTTTATGATACAGACTAAAGTATCACAATTCAAATTTTATAATACAGACTAAGATATCATGATTCAAATTTTATGATACAGATTAAGGTGTTGTAATATATATTTTATGACATATAGATAGGTAGATGGCTTGTATACCCTTTAGAA